AGCCTCCGGGGCGGGCCAAGCCCCCCTCCCGCGAGGGAAGAGGGTGTCCACTACCCGCCCCAGGAGGTGGGGGTCAAGACTCTCCGTCAGCGGGGGCGTCTGAGTCGCCTTATGACGACCTTGTACGGACGCCCCCACGGATCTTTGTTGAGAGTCCCAAGGAGCTCATCCCAGGCCCGGGTCTTGGCCACTCGAATGGCCGTCCCGAGGGCTTTCTTCGCAGCGCGGTAGCCCTCATAAACTCTCTCCCACGTGGCCTCGTTGCCTGATGGTCGGCAACGGGCGTGGGTGTACTGGAGTCGCGCCCTTACGCACTCCTCGCGCAACTGGGCGATCTCCAACGACCACCAGTACACCGCCCTCTTGGGAGGAAGGCTCCTTCGGCGGGGCATGGCCACGTCGCAGACGTCCACCATGCCCGCCATGAGCCACTCCACTTCCTCCCAGGGGCCACGCGGCGCGGCCGGTAGAGGCGACGCCACCACATGGACCGCGGCGACCAAGGCTCCTGGGTCCATCTCCCTAAGGAGATCCCAGCCCCGCGGCGGTGGAGTGTTGTTCCCACCCTGGCAGCCCCGGTGGCCAGGGCCGGGTCGAGACCACCATCGTCACGTAGCGATGGTCTGACAGCGTCTCCACGTCCACCCTGACTTGCCACTCGGACACACGCGGCACAGCAGCCGGGGATGCGAACGAGAGGTCCACAATCGACCCCCCGTGCTGCCGCACACACGTCTGCTGCGAGCCCCGGTTTAGCAGCTGGAGCCCGCAGACTGCCATCCACACCTCCAGAGCCTCTTCCTTCGCTTCTGTCCTGGGGGAACCCCAAGTCACCGACTTGGCGTTGAAGTCCCCCAGGACGAGCACCGGACGGGGGTGCCAGCGTCTTACTACTGCCTCCAGCCCGTCCAGATACTCCTCAAAGTCGCGGAGAGGCCTGTTGGGTGAGAAATACCACCCCACCACTATGGTTTCTCCCCATTCCCCAGCCACGAACCCCGGCCCCCTCTCAGCGAGAGTGAAGATCGGGATCTCGTGGCCCCAAACACAATAGATCGCGACCGTGCCCGTTTCATCCCCCACCCATGCGGGGTGTGCAGGGACTGAATACGGCTCGGCCGCGACCGCCAGGCTTTGGGTCATGAGATCCTGCGCCCGGCGGCAGTGGTTCAGGTTCGCCTGGAGGAGGAAGGCCATGGTTTACCTTACTCGGCATCCATGGGCTCCTCCCCCAGGCCCTCCCTCTCCCTTAGAGGGGGCTCGGTCACCCCCCCATAACCAGCGGGCCCCGGCGGACCAGCTGTCCCCCCTCCCAGACCCACAGCGGGACCCGGTGGCCCCGCTGTCACCTCCCCAACCGCAGGTCCCGGTGGCCCCGCCAGAGTTTCCCGGACACCGGGAGGAAAGGACTGTGAGGCCTCCTCCCCGGACCCTTTGCTCCCCTCTTGCCTCTGCGGATGGCGGGGGCACAGGCTGGACTTCCCCACCGATGGCCGGCTGGGCGACCCAAGTCCGAGCATAGCGGACACTTTGGGTCCGCTGCGCACAGGGCCGCCCCATGACCGACCCTTCCGCATCGGTAGCACCGCCCGCTGCGGTCCTCCGAGGGGTACGGACATTGCTGCCTTACGTGTCCCCTACGGAGGCACCTGTAGCATTGGAGCGGGCGGTGCTCCAACACATCCACCGCAGCCCTGACCCAGCCGACGGTCACCTTGCTTAAGTCGGCAAGTTTCCTGACCGCCAACACCGGGCACCGCGCCCATGCTGCACCGAGGCCCGAGGGAGCCGTTTTAACCGGCCCCACTCTGATCTCCCCCGGTGCGCATCCCCCGGCGCTGGCCAAGGCTGCGGCCACCTCTTCTGAGGAGACTGAGTCGTCCAGGCCCCGCACTCTGACTTCCGCAGTCTTGACGGGCCTGGAGACCCTAGCCTCCCCATTTGCAAACAAGGCGGACATGGCCTGGGCCAGCTTGTCCGCCTTGTCGGCTCCTCCCTCACCGGGGACATCCAGGACAAGGCCCCCGGTGATGGCTCTTTTTGGCCTGAGCCCGGCGATGCCCAGCCCCTTGAGGTCTATTCACTCTCGGGCCTTGGACATCACCGCGCTCAAGGTGAGCGGCCCACCCTCGGGCACGTTAACCGTGAGGGCCGCCGTTTTCGGCACACGGCCGGCCCTCTGCTTGGGGGAGGAGGCTTTGCCCTTGCCCCCTCCCTTCTTCCCTTGCTGCCGTGGCTGCAGCGCTGTCTTGGGGGGAGGGAGTCCGCTTGAGGAAACCTTGCTTCCCACCACCCCCTGCCCACTTTTCTTCCTCTTCCTCCCCACCACCTGTGACCAGGCGTCTGCTGGGGGGGAGGAAGATGTGGAAGGTCGAGCCGTTGAGGTGCTCGACACCTCCCGGGCTGTCGAACGCTCCAGGGGTGGTTCGACCAGAGATGCCAGATCGCGCCGGACAGCATCGAGAGCATCGAAGCGGTGGGAGCTGGTGGGGGCTCACCGCCTCGATGCTCTCGTACGCACACAAGCGAGAACCGCCGTCCGTGTGCGTGACGTCACGCTCGGCTGTCGGCTTGTGGA